CGGCATCGACGTCAGCGACCCGCCCAGGTACCTGGGGCACGCCGCAGGGCCCAGCATTGTCCTCATGCCCCAGGGCGCGGAGGAGAACGAGGTCGGGACCCACGTGTTCGGCACTGGCGAGTGGAGTGACCCCATTGGCCAAGCAGGCGTGCCTGGGCATCCCGAGGCGATGGCGATGAGTGCGGACCTGCAGCAGCCAGCCGAGCTGCCACTCAGGGTACGCGCTCGGAGGCTGGAGGCGGCAGCAGCCAGGCACGCCAGGGCCGTCATTGCGGTGCGCTGTGCCTCGCCCGCCGACGCGGTGGTGCGGTCCTTGGAGCGGTTCGGCTGGTACTTCGAGTCGGAGCGGAGCATGGTCGTGGACCTCGGCGACGCGTTCGATCCATGTTCCTCAGGCCTCGGGCGATAAGCTTTGAGGCAAGCTCGGTTGCTTTGCAGGCCTCCAACTGCCATGAGAGGCAGAAGCTCAGCTGCGACCCCCTCTTGCTGCGGCTGTTGTTCGGGGACGCCATCGGACAACTGCTCGGGCCAGGAATCGAGCTGTACGTGAAGGGACAGCACGCGCGAGGTGCCTGCATCTCCAACACACACTGGACGATGAGGGTCTGGAGGCTTCGGCTCGGCCAAGAGTAGCGAAGGGCCCCCTCCTGCTGGCGAGCGCCGCCAGGCGCTGGCCGCTGCGGCTGCGGAGCCTCCTCTGGCTGGAGAGGCCCTCGGCGGCAGCGCTCCTGCCAAGCGGCCACGCCTGGAGAGCAGCCGCTCGACGGGGAGCAGTGCGGCAGCCCTCTCGGCTACCGCTGTCGCCTTCAGCATCCCGGGGCACGCGCTCAGCTGCGCCTGTGCGGGCGAAGGCGAGGACGCCCAGGAGATCGTGGCCTGTTCCAGCTGCGGCGCCTACAAGGTGCTGGGCAGCCGCGCGGGAGGCAAGTCTCGCCTGAAGGCGCAGTGCCCAGGGCCCAGCTACCTGACCAACAAGTCAGGCAGGAACCAGCGCAGCCTGCGGGAGCGAGGGCTCCGTCCTGGTGGCAGGCCGCGAGCGGACAAGCAGAGAGCGAAGGGAGAGGGCATCCTTGCCTTGCGCTCGCAAGGGCCGGTGCCGGGGAACGCCCAGGAGCGCGACCTGGAATGGCTCGGCATGGAAGCGGAGCCTGCAGGCGAGGCCTCAGCTGCGGCCGGCAGCCCTGGCAGCGGCCCAGCGGCCCCTGCGGCGGCGCTGGGGGGGGAGGCTGCGGCTGCCAGCCTGCCCCAGCAGCGCCCAGACCCGACGAGCGCTGGGCCCCTCGGCGCAAACGAGGCCACCGAGGAGGTGTGCGCTGAGGGGGGCGCAGCGGGGAGAGATGGCCAGATGGGCCGCAGGGTCCGCCGCCGTCTGGCGCGCCGCGGCCTGGAGTCTGAGAGTGAGTGAAGGCTTCCCTGCCTTTCTGCCAGCGCCTGCTGCTCCCTTGTGAGTAGGCCCGCGTGTCTGGCTTTGCTTGGGGCTCGGCGTCTCTCGGGAACTTTGGCCCCGCCTGGCCGTGTCCCCGTTTCCCCCCCCTTCCCCGTGCCTTGAAGGCCCCGTCTTTATCTTTAACTTTAACACAGAACACACAGGGGCACGGCAGAACACACAGGAGCAGGAGGAGCACGGCAGAGCACGGCAGAACAAGCAGGAGCGCGGCAGACACGCAGGAATATGGCATAATTTGCAGGAGCACCGCAGAACATACGAAACACATAGGAGCACGGCAAATCAAGCAGGATTGCGGCAGAACGCACAGGAGCACGGCAGTACACAAGAGAGCACGGCGGAACACACAGGCGCACGGCAGAATTGACGGCAGAACACGCAGGAGCACGGCAGAACACGCAGGATTATCCGTAGCCATTTTGGCTCAAGCCAGCTCGGTTCAGGCTTGCTTGAGCGAGGGATGGCCACGGGAGGGGGCCCTCTGCGGTTCCCCCGCTCGCGGCGCGAGCGTGGCGATGCGGCGTGGCGCGCCCAGGCGGCTGCCGACGCGCTCATTTTCAGGCTGAAGAACAGGCCCGCGGAGGCGCAGCACGAGCGCGCCCGTCTCCGCGACCTACTTGCGGGCCCTGCTGTTCCAGATGGCGTGGCCAGGGAGGCGGCGCGCCGCGAGCGCATTGCGCGCCCCGCCCTGTGCGCGCTGGCGCAGGAGACCCCAGCTGCAGATTGTGAAGTTCTTCGTCGCAATGTGGCCCTGCACGCCGCGGTATGCCCTGAGGAGTCTGACCCTCCGGCTGCGCGGCGCAAGGCGCAGCGGGGTCGGCGTCTCGTGCGCGGCAGCCGCCGGGCCTCCTGGGGGCGCCTGGCCTTTCCCCACAACGTCGATGCGCTGGACTTCGTGCCGTCCGCAGGCTGCTGGGAGGCCCTGCCGCGCAACGAGGTCGCCGTCGACGACGTGGACTCCGTGGGGTCGTGCGACGCGGAGCTGGCTGCAGATGCCGTGCCAGGGCCCCTGTGGGAGCCCCCGCGGGGGGCGACTGCCCTTGCGCTGCCGCGCCGCGCCGCGGGCGGCGGGCGCTGCGACGCGGAGGCGGGCATTCGATGCACGCGCGGGGCCGCGGTGTTCTCGGGCGCGGCGGTCGGCGCGCAGGCGGTTAGCAGGGCGCTGACAGCGCCTAACGTCATCGGCTTCAACGCCGCGGTCAGCAAGTGCGAGGTGAGCGCTCTGCGGCAGGTCAGCGTCGGCACCCAGAGCAACGTTTACTTTGTCGAGGGCGTGGGAAAGCAGAGGTTCTGGGGCCAGGAGCACCCTGGCCGAACGACCCGTCCATTCGTGCGGCGCCGCGCTCGGGTGGACGCGGCGAGTTCGGGAGCTGGCGCGCCGCCGCTTCCGCAGCTCGAGGAGCGTGGCGGGGCCGAGCCCCGAGCCGCCCTCGGAGTGCAGGAATCGCGGGAGGCGAGTGAGTGAGTGAGGTTGGCATGCAGTTGCATTCGCGTGTTCGTGTGTAGAGCTGTTTTGCCTGTGAGTGCAGACTCATGCGTTCAGTCGCAGTCGAGTTCACGGTGGGCGGTGGCCCAAGGCGGCCCCGCTGGGAGTGCGAGAGGCGGCCCTAGGTGGCCCCTCTTGGATGGGTGGCACTGCGGGGCCCCCGCGAGAGGCGGCCCTAGGCGCCCCCTCTCGGGCGAGCGTGTCTCGTGGCCTTTTGGCCCCACCACTCCGCCTTGAAGACCCCGTCTTTAACTTTAACTCTGGCAGGCAGGATCACGAGGAGCACGGCAGAACGCAGAGTACATAGGAGCACGGCAGAACACACAAGAGCATGGCAGAACACAGGAGCGTGGCAGATCACAAAACACATAGGAATATGGCAGAACAAGCAGCAGCACGGCAGAACACACTGGAGCACGGCAGAACAAACAGGAGCACGGCAGGACACGCAGGAGCACGGCAGAGCAGGACCATGGCAGAACACGAAGGAGCACGGCAGTACACGCAGAAGCACGGCAGAACACACATATACACGGCAGAACACAGCATGACACAGCAGCGCCGCAGACCACCACGCACGGACACACATGGACGCATTCCACGCACGCACGCGCACGCGCAACCGCACGCACGCCACGACATATCGCAGAGGAGCATGAAGTATTGATATTGATAGTTTTCAAGATTTCCAAGTTTTCCCGTCCTTCCGCGCGGGCCCCAGGGACGAATTGTCGAGCGCATTCCGTCGCGCAGGTTCTTTGCGCGATGTGCGCGGTGCATTTTCGCGCATCGGAGCGCCCTCGAATATTCTAAGCTGCATTATGTTTTGCTCTCGGGGCGTCCGCGAGTCGCAGCTGCCGTGGCACGATTTCCGAGGCAACCCCTTCGAGTGTTGTTCGCGGGCGCAGGGCGCGGCGCGCGCTGCGCCCAATCGCACGCGGCGCGGCGCGTGAATCAGCCAGTCGCGCCCGTCAGACCGCCCGGGGATCATTTCGGGATTGCAGAATGTGTCAAAACAGCGCGGCCGTTTTTTGCAAAAACGGTTCCGGAATTTGTTAAAAAGGAGTCCGGAAATTTTCGCGAAACAGTCCTGGGGGGTGGAATGCGCCCGCCGCACAGGGCATCTGAATAGTTCTGAAATCGGGAAAATGTCAAAATGATTTCGGAATTTTTCAAAATCGATTCCGGAATATTTCAAAATCGATTCCAGGATTCCACATGTAGGCCGGGCATTTTCGAAACGTTTTTAGATTTTTCAAATCTACCTCGGAGAATTTTCCAGAATCGCGCGCGAAATTCCTTGCCAGGTCTTTGGGAATCCGCCGAGGCGCGCAGTGCGCGGCGGCGGGCGTCGGGGCGGTGCGCCACCGCCCCCCCCCCCCCCCCCGCGCTCGGCAACGAAAAAGGATATCAACAAGTGCCACATAGCCCCCTGCGGGCGAATACTCGATTGCGGATGGGTGACCGACCAGCGGAGCCAGGCAGACTAGACATTCTCCGACGCAAAGTCTACCCCGCGCGAAGGCTGTTACAAATCCCGGAATTGATTTCCCAGAACGCATCAATAACACATTGTATCAATAGTTTTCGTCGTCTTAATATTTGCGCGATTTGCGCGGCATACCAACAAAAAACATATTTCACATACCTAGTGGACAAACGCGACACTTCCCGTTCTTGTGTCCGGTCAGGTTTCTCTGGGAACGTGCGCGCGCGTTGCCGGCAGTGCATTATTTCAAAGGGAACACGGCTTTGGTCGGACCAGGCGCGGCCCGCATGGCGTTATCCGACAAGGAAAATCCAGGCGTGTGGTCCGCATGATATCATGTCGCTGGGAAGGCATGGTGGGGTACGGTCTGGCTTTAGGGTCAAGGGTGCTACGAGTCAGTGCCGAAATTTTGAGTTGCTTCCCAGGGGGGCGTCCGGAGGGCCGGTAGGAGTGGGCTGTGCAGCCAGGTGATCTTCTTGGAGATTACCAACAACATGTACATGTTGTTGCCGCTGATGCTGGTTATCATGGCTAGCAAGCAGGTTGGCGCTACGCTTTTCAACCTCACACTTCGCAGTGTCGCTCCGTCCTGCCACCCATGAGTTCCAACGAATCAGCTTGTGGATTTGCGTCGCAGGGACCACATTCCGCCTTTTTTGCTGTTCTGCCCGATGCCCTCCACCTTGCCGAGCGGGCACCTCGTCGTCCCCATGCGCTCAGGCGCGCACCGCCTGACCCACCAGTAGCTGCCCCTGATTTTGTACATGCCCATGATACCGCAGACCCTACTGGAGGCTCGATGATGATAAGGAGGGAGAGGAGCCGTCTGGGACAGTCCCAAAGTTGCTCCAGAAGGTTCCCCAACACGCTTCCGAGACGTGTTCCAAAGAGGTTTCCAACAGGGTTCTAAATACAGATTCCCCAGAGTCCACAGGCCTGCAGCCAGTTGATGCGTCATATGGTTATGTTTTCTCTGTCTCTCTCTCTCTCTCTCTCTCTCTCTTTTTTTTCTCTCTCTCTCTCTCTCTCTCCCTCTCTCTTTTTTTTTTTGTTCTCTCTCTCTCTCTATATATATATATATGTTGTTTTATGTCCCTTCTTCCATTTTTATATATATATATATATATATATATATATATATATATATTAATGAATACCAGGTCCCCAGCCCCGGGACCCCGGGTCCCCAGCCCAGGGGCCCCGCCCTGGCGCCTCCAAGGGGCCTCCACACCGCCCTGGAGGCCTCCAGGAGGCCTCCAAGACGGCCCCAGGAATTACCCAAGATGTCCATGAGGGCTCCGAGACGCCACAAACTCGGTCCAAGACGTTCAAGATAGTCCCTAGACGGCCCAGGAGGCTTCCAAGACGCCCCAAGAGGCCTCCAAGAGGCTTTCTCGAGAGGGCCACAAGAGGCAAACAATTGTTGTTTTTCGATTTGTTTTGATGATTTGTTGTGGTTCTCACCTTTTCGGCTTCCCGACGCTCCAAGATAGCCGAAGAGGCTCCCGACAGACAGACCCCTCGGGCCATGCTGTGCTGTTGTCCCCATGTGTGTATATATATATATATATATATATATATATATATATATATATCGGAGTAGGCCAGGGGGGCGAGGGCCCGAGCCGGTGCCGTACCCCCCTAGGGGTGCACTGGGGGGGTCCCAGAGCTCCCGGGACTGCCCGGGCTCACTCCCAAACGCGCCACGACACACCAAGAGGGCCCTTGAGATTGCCAAGAGCCCCAGGAGGCCCCGGACACGCCGAAGATGGCCTCAGGACGGCCGACGACGACGCCGCCAAAACGCCCCAAGAGCGCCTCCAGTGGCCCCTCAAGAGGGCCCCAGAAGCCGAAAATCGTTTTGCGCTCTCGCATGTTCCGCCTCCCCACGGTCCCGGACGGCGTCAGAGGCGCTTCAGATCGCTCCGAGACGGCCGAAGAGGCTCCCAAGAAAGCCCAGAGACGGCCCAGGAGGCTCCCCAGATAATTGAAGAGGGCTTCGAGAGCGCCCCGAGAGAGCCCCAAGAGCAACCCAAGAGGGCCCGAAGAGCGCGACATTTCAAGGACCTATCGGACGCTCCTATCGGACGCCCCCAGAGGCCATCAAGAGGCTCCCAAGAAGCCCCTTGGTCCCCCGGAAGCCCCAATAGGCCCCCAAAGGGCCCCTAGGGAAGCCCCCTGCGGTCGGGCCCCCAGGAAGCCCCAAGAGGTTTCCAAGAGGCCCCCAGGAGACTCCCAAGGGGCCCCAAGAGGCAACCACGAAGTACCCAAGAGCCCCCCTAGAGCTCTCCAAGAGGCCTCCGAAAAACTTCCATCACCCATATCCGAACAGGCATCCAGCAGGTCACTGGACCATCACCCAGGCATGGTGGCCTCAGGTCCACAACCCCAGTTACCAAGACGCTCGGTATTGGAGAGGGATGCTGAGGGCGAGGACGAAGGCGACGACGATGATGGCGATGACGATGACGATGGTGATGATGACGACGACGACGACGACGATGATGCTGATGATGATGATGATGATGATGATGACGATGATGATGGTGATGATGGTGATGCGGGTGACGATAATGACGATGATGACGATTGCGATGATGACGACAGTGATGAGGATGGTGTTGCTGATGGTGGTGGTGATGATGGTGTTGATGGTGATGGTGATGGTGATGATGAAGATGTCGATGATGATGACGATGAAGATGCTGGCGATGAGGATGGCGATGGTGACGATAACGACGATCCCAGCTAGAACGTGAGCGCGCGCGAAGAGCGCGCGATGGTTCTAGTATATGTGTAGATAAACAGATATACATATACACCGACGTACGTGATGCTCCGTCTGCAAGCCCTTTTTTATAGGGCGTTCCAGGGCAGCCAGTGGACACACACACACACGCCGAGCATACATTCAGTCAAAACACAGTTATGGAAGGACACAGTACTTCATCAATACTGTTCTGGTATCCTTGGCCCAGCCTGGTGCCTTGGCCCAAATATCGAAACTGCGTCCTCCCTCCAGACCCGCGCGCTCTCAGAGATTCCCGATTTAACATTCTTTGGATTTGTCCTCAACCTCCCTTCGTCTTAACAGCACCGAGTCGGGTCGCAGAGCTCCCACTGCGTCGTCGCTGTTGCCATCGTGGTCGTCGTCATCGTCGCCGTCGTCGTCGTCGCCGTCGTCGTCGTCGCCGTTTTCGTCGTCGCCGGCGCCGGCGCCGGCGCCACGGCGGCGTTGCCGTCCGCTCGGCAGGTGGCGGACCTCTTCGGCCCCAGCGTGTACGACATCGTGCTGGAGAGCAACCCCGAGGCCACCGCAGGGGGACCGGGGAGGAGGAGGAGGAGGAGGAGGAGGAGGAGGAGGAGGAGGAGGAGGAGGAGAGGAGGAGGAGGAGGAGGAGGAGGAGGAGGAGGAGGAGGAGGAGGAGGAGGAGGAGGATGACGAGGAGGAGGAAGGGGGGGAAGGAGGAGGAGGAAGAGGATGAGAAGGAGGAGGAGGAGGTGGAGGAGGATCAGTGTAAACCCAAGAGTCAGAAACGATGTTGTCATAAACCCTCCCTCCAAGCTCACACTCATCATAGGCCCCTACAGGGGTTCACTTCCACTGAGGGAACTGCCTCGTTGGAAGACAACCGTTTGAAGACCCTGACGCATACCAAACATCATTCTCGGGACCCCAATGCCAACGATCAACCTGATTGTTGCATCTTGACGATCCTGAATCGTGCCAGAACGCCACTCCTGTGATTTCAACATCGCGCATGAACGTAATTGTTGCATCCTCGTCATCCTGAGCATTTCCAAGTCACAGTTTCTGGTACGTTGACCATGGGAATCCGTAAAACTCACCGCAACCTTGTAAAATAGATGTGCGCCGCGTCAAGGCGAGAGCCACATCTTGAAAAAAGGAACCGCCTTCAATCCGTAAAACTCTTGCAATTTTGTTCAAGCGTATGTGCGCGGCGCAAAGGCGAGAGCTACATTGTGAAAACGACCCGCCCTCAATCCATGAAACTCCTTGTGGCGCTAAGGTGAGAGCCACATTTTGAAAACGACCCGCCCTTCATCTGTGAAATTGTTGCCATTGTTGATACTTCAGGATCAGAAGTGGTGAGGAAGTCTCAGGCGAAACGCCCGGCCTGTCCTAAAAACTGGCCTCGGGGTACGACGGGGAAAAGTTATTTATAAGGAGAGGGAACGGAGCAGGAGGAGGACGACGAGGAGGAGGAGGAGGAGGAGGAGGAGGAGGAGAGGGGGGAGGGGGAGGATCAGAGGAGGAATAGATGCCAATACCACTACCCTTCCCTCGTTTTCCCCTCGTTGGCCCTCCTGGGAGGCCCTCGTCGCCACGGCTGGGTTCGCCCTGAGTTCCAGCCAAAAAGCACCCCAGGAGAGGTCCAGGAAGTAGCGGTATCAGTATCTTTTGGTTTCTTCACATGAGAGAGCAGGGGAGTCAGGGATGGGGAGGGGGTACAACGGCGGTCAAACATACATTTTCGGAGGTCCGCGCGGATTTCTTGGATCTGCGCTGACACCCCCTGGCGGGCGCCTCCGGCACCGCCCCTCCGTGCGCCAGGGACGGGGATCCAGCGCCGATCTAAGAATTCCGCGCGGATCTCATAAAGTTGGCGTTCATGGTGTTTTTTTGGTTCCTCTAGGCAACTAGGGGATTTTTTTGTTTCATGAAGTTTTTGTTCATGCAAGAGGGGGAGGGGGAGGAGGACCTTCATCCCTGGGCAAAATGAGGCAGTCACGACGGCCGCAGCGCCTTCGCACCTTCGCGGGCCGCCCTGGACGCGCAGCATCGATCCAGCTGCGCCTCAAGGTCGGGCGGGCCGTGTGGTCCAATCGTGCTCATCTCGGGGCTTCGTGCCCTCTTCCCCAGTGTTAAGTCGGGCTTGTCCTTCTAAAAGGCGAATAGTCAAACATAGTACTTCTTTTTAACTATTGAATATGTGTTGAGCTTTGTTTGATTATTTTTAATATCGTCCAACATCCCCCTGTAGGCGGACATGCCCGACCTAACACCAGTCAGGATTCGCCCAAGGGAATCTTGTTTGCGTTCTATCTGGGGGGCGCGTAATGGAGGGGCGATAGGTGTGGGGGGGGGGGCAGCGAGGGCTGCCGGAAAGGGGGGCCTTGGGGCCCCTCCCCTACAGGAGCCCTTTCGGGCCCAGAAGAGGGCCTTGAAGGCCCGAGAAGGGCACCTTCCGCATCCCGCCCCCCCATTTATCGCTCCGAGTTCGTTCGGTTTCAAGTCATGGGTGCCTTGCGTAACCTCGTACTTTTGCCTTCAGAGTGCGCCAGCGGCCACTGGCGTCTGGCAGTCGATGCTTCAGCGTCAATGTAGCGCCAATGCAGCGCCGATGAACGTCCAGTAGCGTCGATGAGCGCCCATTCGCAAGAGCCAACAAGAGTGTGTGGGAGGCCCCCGTAGGTGGCCACCGAAGATTCGCGCCTGGTCTGTGAGAGACACCGGCGGGTGCGACGGCCCAAGTGCCGAGGCGGCGCTGGGCGTTGCTCGGGGCGTTCTCTTGGTCTCGGTTCCTTTGCCGTGGCGGCGCTCGGCGCTGCCCGGCCTTCCTCTGCTGTGGTGTCTTGTGGCCTTTCTCGGGGTAGTTCGGTAGCAAGTCATGGGAGCCTCGTGTACCCTCGCAATTCCGTCTTTAGCGTCGTTTATCGTCGATTAGCGTCTGAAGTCGACGAGCTAGCGCCGATTTAGCGTTCATACTTACGCAGGCCGAAAGATTTTCCTCTTGAGCCCCACATGTCGGAAGCGACGTGCCGATCCCCTCTGTTCTCCTCCCACCTCCTCTTGCCTCTTCCCTCATCCTTCCCCTCTTCATCCTGGGAAGACCTCCCTCCCCCGTAGAATCATAGCATTGGTCTGCTGATCCACGACTCCGTGGATAGCATGATGTTGCACTTGCGGTGCTCCGCGGATCCCATGTCCCCTCGGTCCCGGATGTTACTTATTATTGTATATTTATTCCCGGGACATAAATGGATCCATCGTTTTTTTCACACACAGGAAATTGGATCCGCGCAACACAGAAATCCACGAAATTCTCCAACACCCGAAAAGGGATCGAATTGGATCCATTGGTGTTCTCATTTTTTAAGTCCGAGAGGAAAAAACTTTCGGCCTGGGGATGTATAGCGTCGATCAGCGTCGATTTAGCGTCGACTAGCGTCGAATCGCAAGAGCCGACAAGATGGTATTGAAGGCTCCCATGGGTTGCCACCGAAGGTTAGTTGGTTGTGATTCCTCTTCGGCAAAATCAATGCAACGCATTGCCAAGCAAGACGCAGCACTGCCGAGCATTGCCACGGGATGCAAAGTACGTCAGAGCGATGTCAGCGATGCGAAGCAAGGCCACGCGATGCGAATCAATGCCAAGCAGCGCAAAGAAGTGCCCAGCAGCGCCAAGCAAGGCACGGCCATGCCAGGCGAGGCAGAGCAGCGCACAGCGAGTGCTCAGCAATGATACCACTCGTGCCAAGCAGTGCCAAGCAGCGATTCCAAGCACTGCCTTGAAATGGCACGCAACGCACAGCTGGAGTACGTGATCGCCTACAGAATTGATGTACCCCAAAATTGATTTTCTCGTCGAGTCATACGTAGGGTGTTTGTAGATTTACGAACGTTCTACGCATTTCCAATGGATTCGACGAGAAAAACAGTTCGGGGGTAAATCAATTCTGTAGTCGATCCCCTACTCGAACAGCGTTTCCAAGCCAAGCCAAGAACTGCAGAACAGTACCAAGCGCAGTGCCCCCTCCTGGCAGCCCTGCGCCCTCTGCTGCTCCGCAGGCTGCCCGCGCCCGTGCCGCAGGCCGCGCCCGCGGGGACAAACCCGTGGCGAAGAAGCCTCGCGCGCCAGTTTGCGTTCGTGCTTCGCCTGCGCGGTACAGTTCAGACGGGCATGTCCTTCTACTGGAGGCACACTCAAAAATAGAGGAAAAATAGTCTGGGGACGATGTTTCACTATGCCGGAGCAGTTTTGTCATGTGCCTGTTTCGTTTTAATGTCTCGTCCAAAGCCCGCCTGTAGGAGGACATGTCCGACCTGACACTGCAGTGGAGACCCAGGCCAAGCAACGCCCTGTTTGCCTCCAGGGTGCCCAGGGCTTTTGTAGGGGACCAACAAATGGCATACACATACAAACTCGGAGGTCCGCACGGATTTCTCGGATCTGCGTTGCGGGCCCTCTTGCGGCGCCTTCGCCGCCGCCGCCGCGCTCCGCGCGCCATGGAGGAATGTCTAGCGCGGATCCGAGAAAGCCGCGCGGACCTCCGAGTTGTTATGTGCATGGCACTTGTGTGTTCCCTAATTCTTGGGTTTCGAAGGCTTTGCTGTGGAAAACGTACGTGACGTCCCCACGCCAAGAGTCCATGGACGCCCTGGGGTCTCAGGGTCGGGTTTCTTGGGGAAGGTTTCTTGTGGACTGGCCTCCACTGTATGGGTGGGCGTTTCCTCCACCGTGCGGGCTTAATTGAAAGCGGGATTGTGGGGTGAGAGCGTCCCCCTACGCCGCGACGCGGCGGGCTCAGGCTGAGCCCCATGTTCCCCGCCCTGGTCAGGCCCTGCTTCACCAGAGAGGGCCCGTATTCTCGTCTGGAGGCGAAGTGGCAGGCGGCGGCCAAACTAAATTCCTCCTTCTCTCCTTCTCTTCCTCCTCCTCTCCTCCTCCTCTTCCTCCTCCTCCTCCACCTCCTCCTATTGCATGCGCTGGGCCCCCCCGTCCTTCTTGACCCGCTCTCCCCCAGAAGTCGGGTCGCGCAGAGTCCTTGGTCAGATTTGTGGCGTGAGGCTTGAGTACCTAATTTGGATTCCCGGCGCATGGTGCATTGCTCATTTCTCATTGCTCCTCCTACCCATGTACATTATTGGGAGAAGCGCCCAGTCAGTCGTTTCCTCCCTTCTCTGAAAGCCAAAAAAACTAGACTGACGCGGGCAGTTCAACTTTTTGTGCTCATCGCATTGAGCCCGCTTGACAGATTCTGGCGATTTGGGTGCTGCACACAGTGATGTTTCACACAGTCGGAAGCGGAGGCGTCGTTCGTGACAGCGTCGG